TGGATCAGGACCATGGGCCAGTTTGTCAACCCCTGACCTACAGAAAAAGTATAAGAAGAGGAGGGAGTCGAATCAGAACCACTGAGAGAAGTCTCAGGAAAAAGAAGTAGAAGCAAGAGAGAAAGAGCCACCATTTAAAACCCAAGACAAGAGAAGGCCATGGGCGGGGCAGGCCAGAGTGCAAGAGCGCACTGGGTATTACCGTGTATCTCGAGTCATCTGGATGAACGGCCACAGCCACGTCTCCAGGCAGCGTCTCTGGCCTCGTGGTTCCTACCACAACCTCTGCATCTGAAGACAAACATTTAAACACTTAGAGGTGGTCATCATCCTCACCCCTCACTGCCAATATAGTTGAACGCAGTAGAACTGGAAAGGGGAAGGGGCAGGGAGTAGTTAAGGTGGAAGAGGCCCCCAGGAGTGACTAGAAAAAAGCAGGAGCAGTGTTTATAGGAACCCAGGGTTTCCCATAAGTTAATGACCAGAGGCCTGAGAGGGTGTCTGGTGCTAAGGAATTCCCTGATAATTTGCATGGAAGAAATGGGGGCAGCATTAATTAAAGCAACTATAATAGAATTTTTGCTGGGTGCCCAGAGGACACTGGGGATTCTCAGTGTCCTCATCACAAATGCGGTACATTCTTCAGGGGGAGCACCAGCTCCTCCTACAAGAAGCTTCCTCTGACTATTCCAGCTCATCTGTCTTCCCTTTCTTTGAGCTCTTCAGAACATTTTCCATAAAAACCACACCTTAGAGGCCGGGCGCGGTGGCTCACACCTGTAATCCCAGCACTTTGGGAGGCCAAGGCAGGCGGATAACAAGGTCAGGAGTTCGAGACCAACCTGACCAACATGGTGAAACCCCATCTCTACTAAAAATACAAAAATTAGCCAGGCCTGGTGGTGCGCGCCTGTAATCCCAGCTACTCAGGAGGCTGAGACAGGAGAATCGCTTGAACCTGGGAAGCATAGGTTGTAGGAGCCGAGATCGTGCCATTGCACTCCAGCCTGGGCAAAAGAGTGAGACTCCATCTCAAAACAAAAAAACAAAACAAAACAAAAAACAAAACACACACCTTAGAACTGATCTGTCTCTTTCCTGGGTAGCGCACTCCTGAAGAATCACACCAAGCTATCAAAGGGCAGTAACCACATGCACTTTTTGTACATCCCCCAGAAGATCCTGGGTAAGTGCCCACACTGAGGTGAACATTACCAAGGTTCATGTGGGAGATGGACTGACGGTTTCCTAGCAGCCAAACATGGGCTCCAGAAAACAAAAAATGGAGGTAAACAGGTGACCCTGCAGAGTACTATGCTCACCAGGCTCTCCATCCACAGGGAAGGCAACAGAAAATAGGAGGCCAAAAGACACAGGGGTAGGGCAGCCAGGCAGTCGAAGCTGTGTACGGCCAGGCAGGGGCCGGTTCTCCACCTGGAAGCGCCGAGAAAGCTGGGTCAGAGGGCAGCCTTTCTGCAAGGCTCATGCCCAGGCTTCACTCTGCCACTCATCCATCTGCCCAGCCTCCCTGCAATCCATCTAAAATCCATTTGGAGGATTCAGGAGCTACCTCCCTCTGCCCTCACCCAATGCTTATGCAGTCACACTTCTAATAAATATTCGCCGGGCACTTAAGCCATGGCCAGGTATCTTGCCAAGCACCTATGTGAATTCTCATTTAATTTTTACAACATCCCCACGATGCAAGCATTCCATCATCTCTAATTTACAGACTGAGGAAGCTGAGGCTTAAAGAGACTAAACAGCCTGCCAAAAGCCACACAGCTGTCACAGGCAGGCCTCAGATTTGAATCCAGGCACCCTGGTTCCAGAGTCTGAGCTCTTAACCATTGACGACCACTCTGCCTCAGAGCTCTCACAAACCTGCTTCTCTTTCTCCGCCTCACCTCAATGTCCGAGATGGCTGATCTTAAAGCACATGACCAGTTGACAAGCTGACGGTTCCGGTACAGCAACCCCGCCTTGTAGAGCCGCACAAAAGCTTCAGTCACAGCCACTGAGGAGCCCTGGAATGACCTGAGTGTCCACCTCTAACAGCCACTTCTCAGCCCATCACCCCATTCAGGGACCCAGGCATTGCTACCTCCCTGCCCCACACAGATCTCTAAACATCCCCCAATGCTCACAGGGACCAAGGCACGGAACTCACAACATCCATGGTAAAACACTCTCGATCCCAGTCCAGGGAGGCACCCAGAGCTCGCAGCTGCTCACAGATCTCTCCACCTTTCCTGTGCCCAGAGAGATCCTTGTCAGCAAACTCTTCCCAAGCACTTCCTATGTACCAGGTCCAGCGATGTCCCCAGCAATGCCAGGTGTTGGAGGAAAATCAAGTGAGGATGGCATTGATCTCGCCTCTAGAGGCTAATAGAAATGGACTTACAAACCCAGTATGGGGTTTTCTAAGATATTAAAAGAGGCAAAAGTTTCTATAGGAAGAGAGGAGGGATAGTCATATTGTAGGAAATCCAAAGATGCTTCACAGAGATGGCATGAGATAACAGACCCGGAAGAATGAGGGTAATTCCATGGGAATTGAAAGGTGGGAATGGGTGAGTGAAAGAAGGTGAGATTTAGACAAGAGAAACTGGGGTAAGTAAAGAGAAAGAAAAAAATATATATATAAAAAAATACACACACACACAAATATTCTAATGCATATGTAATATCCATACATATAAGGCTTGGAAACTCCACCAAACGTTAAGGGGCTCCAGAGCTTCCATCTCTGAGGAAGTCAGGGCTGTGTCGGGAAGCACCAGGGATTACAAGTCAGGAGTGATAGTGGTGGGAGGCAAGAAACCAAATCTGCCATCTGGGCCCCCTGAGCCGTGCCCATCATACTCACGCCTCCTTCCACTGCCACACCTCCCTAAGGAAGGCCTCCCGGCTCAGCTCATGTCTCCTCACTCCCTGTTCCTTCCACAGTTGTTTCTCCACCACAGCCTGCAGTTGGATTCAGGGCAAATGAACAGAGTCAGGTTGCTTTGGGGGAAGAAATTGCTTTCACCCAAGAAAAGGAACATGTAATAGAAGACATACTTGTGTAGCAATTCCTGCGTGATCTGAACCAGGGACCCACAGCACTTGATCCCCACGCATCCGGTGCCTGCAACAAAAATGAACTCCGGTGAGCCCCTGGGCTTAAATGTTTATTCTCACTCATTCCTGCCCTTCCTATTTCCCTTCCAAGAACTCAAGCAGCCCCCACTCCCCTCTCACCAGCGCACGAGGGCATCCTGTATGGCCACCGTGAGTGCGTGGCCAATGTGCAGGGAGCCAGTGACATTGGGAGGTGGGATACACATGGAAAAGGTCTCCCCTGTAGCTTGGGGCAGCCGGGCCTAGAGGAAGAAAAAAAGTCAAAGGGGCAAGAGAGAATTGGATTGGGGAAAGAGCACCCTCTACTGTCTCCAGAACAGAAAGAACTTCAGGGAAGAACTGTCCTGCAAACAACAGAGGAGAGTGGAGAGGAGGGAACTGACCAGGGGGAACCCGCCAAGAGAAATCTTGGGAGACACCAGAGCCAGAAAGAAGGCAAGGTCTACAATGTGAGCTCAACTCTGAGGCTCCAGTTGTATTCAACGGCCACTCTGTCCTGGAGATCATTTAGGACCCCTGCCTGCCAGATACTAACCTGATATTCTGGTTTGAAGAAGCCCTCTCGTACCCACCACGGGTACCAGGCAGCCTCAACATATCGGGGACTGTATGCAGGCGGCAGGGGCCCAGAGACATCTGTGGAGGCAGAGGAGAGCTCCACTAACCACTGAACTTGTTCCCAGGCTGCATTTCAGCAGGCCAAATGGGCAACACAAATGTGAAAGAAAAGGCTTTCTTATTCTACTTACCTTTCTTTTCACCGGGTTTCGTAGGGATTTCATACAATACTACCTCCTTAGGACTCCAGGCCTTAATGGATTCTGCAGGTGACTGAGAAGAGAAAGCAGAGGAGGCTGGGATCCTGTATACCCCAGACTGCATTTCAGCCCATCTCCTCCAGCCCCTCCCAAATCTCAGAAACCCAAGGACAAGCTGTCTAACCCCTAACCTTGCTCTCCCCTGCTATGTCAGCCTCCAGAGTCGCCTGCTTCTCTCGAAGGCGTTTCTGTTTGGCTTCACGGTTCCTCCGGGAGATAGGAGATCCATGGGGCTCCGACTGTGTAGAAACGGAATGAAACCTGGGGAGGCCCTGTGAGTGCCTCAGCCCCCAAAATGGTGGTCGAAAAGAGGCGAGAGGCAAATGAGGCATCAGGAGTGTTTGGAAAGGGGCCGAGATCTGTTCTGGATAGAGAGAGTGCACATTAGGATATGGGGGTGGAGGAGGGTCACTCCCCTTGTGCCATCTTTCCTGTCTCTAATTAGCACAGGTCTGTAATTCCAAGTCTCTATTCCATCCCACACAACCTTTCCTCCTTGAGGGCTAGAGTGCATGGTGTCGACAGCGCCATGGAGCCACGGAGACCAGGGCTCTTCCGGAACAGGACCGGAGTGTCTGGACTTAGCGGTGACCACTGACATATGAGAGGATAGGGCTCAGAAACTCAGGGAGATGACGGGCATCAGCGCGCCCAGGAGCCAGCAAGGAGTCCCGCCAGGGCCGCTGCGATCTCCACTTGCCCAGGGGCCTCCTGCAGTGCCCACAGGCCGGCGCGGCCCGACCTTCCCGCCCATCCCAACGCCTGGGCCCAGGGCCCGCAGCGTCTCCCACTTCCAGGAGGCCGCCCCCGCGCGCGCTCACCGGGAGGCCCCGCCGCTATCCCAGGGCGCCCCGCGGCGGCAGGGACTGGGGGCTCCACCAAACCCGACCCTGGAACGTGGCCCCGGAGCCGCGCGGCGCATGGGGGCGGGACCCCGGGCGGCGCATGCGCAGCAGCTGGCTTCGGCCCCACCCTCTCCCTCCCGGTCCAATGGCTGTCGACTAGAGGAGCGAGTCAGCCGCGAATGCAAACCCCACCGGGAGGCGCCCGGGACCGCACTGCTAGCTATCACGACTTTATTAGACAAGAAAAGCCCTGACGCGTAAATAAAAAACACCTGAGTTCTGAGGCCCCGCCCCCGCCCGGTCCCGCCCGCCGAGGTCCAAGTCCCGCGCTCTCAGGAGCTGTGTTTCTGCCGCTTCCAAAAGCGCTTGACGTCGCTGTGCCCGGCCGGGGTCACCACCATGAGCCGCTTGGCCGAGTTCTCGAACACGAGCACGCCCAGCTCCCGCGCGTGGGCCAGCAGCAGCTCAAAGTCCACTTGCGACAGGAACTGGTTATACAGGACACCTGGGGTTGGCAGGACGGGAGGGGCGCGGGGAGAAGACGAGAAAGTGAAGCTCGGAGCTCCTGTTGGGAATCCCCCCAGCTCCTTCATGGCAGCCCTGGACGCGGTCTGGGCTCGCCCCAACCGCAATTTTAGAAACTTAATTCTCTATGCTTGTCTGCTCAGGGGTTCATCTTAACACCAGTGTGATCCGGCCATATTCAGAAAGGCCTAATACAAATTACTGTGAATTATTCCCTCTCCTAACCAAATCCAAAGTGCATTGATTTGGGACGATTTGTTTACCACCGACTCACCCCAAAACAAACAAACAAAAAAACTGTCTTGCCAGCTTTTCTCTCCTAGTCCATGAAGGAAAAAATAAAATGCATGAAAAGCTTTTACACTTTATCAAGACTGAATTGTCTGCCCTTTCTCTGGCCAATGACCAAGACTTGGCCACCAGAAGCTACTCACCCTCAGTGAACCGGAGTCTGTCCCTTTCCAGCTCCCAGAGCCGGATCTGGTCTGTGATGGTGGGGGGCAGCACAGGTGTCTGCAAGGAGCAAGGGTTGGCTGTAGGGACTCAGGAATACTGCCCCAGACAACCCGGCCCTCCGCTTCTTCCCCAGATTTGGATGCCCCTTTTTCTTTTCCATCATCTCATCACCAGCTGCCAGCCTCTGACATCTTGGAGCCTGTCTGTACCTGTTTGAGCATCACTGGGTGGGCCCTTGTCCTTAGGAAATGGATTATCTAGGAAAACAGACAAGAATGGCATGAGGGCTCCAGCAAGAAGGCAGGAAAGCCATCTGAGCTGTCACCTAATGTCACTGGAACATCAGCTTATTCTAAAAACTCCTAACTCCTGTCATCAACTCTACCCATCTACCAACAGTTCAGCTGTTATCCCAAGTTGCTGCTCCCAGCAACTTGGGATATTCCTTTTCTGGCACATTCACCCTTTCCAGTAATGTTTTTTCTTTCTTTAAAATAGCAAAAGCTACTTTTTTTTTTTTTAAGCACTTATTGCATGACAGGTGCTGAGCTCAATGCTTTACCCCTATTCTTCCAATGAATTATCCCTGCAACCCTGAGGTAAGAACTGTCACTTACTAGATGAGGAAACTGAGGCTCACAGAAGCAAAACAACTATGTCTAGTTTACGCAGTTAGGAGGTGGTGGTGCCAAGGCACAAATCCACAGCCATACCTCCTCCCTCCATGTTTCTTTCCCCTCAAGAGTCTACCTGTTCTCACACCCAAAGCCTTCATTTCTTTTCAAACACAGACAACTCACCACCACCTATTATAACAGACTCAGAGCTAGCCTTCCATAATGTGACCCTCTGTGCCCCACAGCCCAAGTGCAGCCTGTCTTCCTGCTCTACCTCTCCCAAGTGGGAATACCTGCTGGGCTGTGATGCCACTGGCGATTGCCTGCTGCACACTCTCCCGGGTCACCTGCGCCACCACCATGTTGGGGAACCGATAGAGCATCTCAGAGAAGAGGGCAATGAGGGCAATCTGCAGCTCCGACTCTGAGCCAGGGATAGAAAGAGGATGAGGAGGCCACCCCCACACCCAGACTCCCTCAAGCCCTTCTTTCAAGTGTCATGAGAAATGTCAGAGAGCTCTGAAAACTGCCAGGTAAACATGAACAGAAACTGGCATTCCTTCACCCCCAACCTTCTCTTCCGGGGCACTCTGTCCCGCCTCACCCGTGTAGGCATACAGTCGGTAATTGGTTTCCACCACAATGAAGCCTGGCTGATGCACAGTGCCCCCAGCTCCAGAGACACCTGACGAGAGATTGATGGCCAGGCGCGTGGGGTAGTAACGCCGAGATTTCCTCTGGAAAGGATAGAAAGGCAGATGCCTTGTCTCAGAATTCACTGCCTTACATCTTCCTGCCTGAAATATCAGATCCCTCCCAAGATGCAGAACCTCAACCTCCAACTTCTCTCCCCCAAGAGACCCAAGTATTCAGTTCTGGCAACTGCTTCCTGCTACTTCCCCGGGACCCCACTCCTTTTTAAAGGCGAAGGCAACACACCACCCTGTTTCTTCCCTGGAAGCCACTCATCTAGGCGCTCATACCTTCCTCTGGAAAACAAGCCCAAACTCACGCAGATGTTGCAGGAAGTTCAACAGAGAATCACTCATACCTTCCACAGAGTAATCCTGAGGAACAGAGGTTTCCAGCTGGGGTCCAAAACACAACCCACCCACCCCCAACCCCATCATTCATTCTGTCTTTCTCCATCCACCTCTGCTCGTTCTGTGTTCATTCTTATCTTCTCACTCTACTGCCCCACAATTTGCTTTTTCCTTCCCATCTCTATACCCTTCAGCCCCCTGCTTACCTTGCCCAGAGTAGAGAAGCTGAGCTGGAAGAGGAAGGAGAGAATCTCTACTAGGTCCATGCCCCGGCTCTAGGGAGAAAGAGGCAGAGACAAAGGAGGAGGGATGGGAGGGAGACAATGGGAAGAAAGGGACAGAGAAGAGAAAATCAGGGAACAGTCTGTAGGCAGGAATCTCTCAGTGAGACCTGAGAGGAGCAGAGCATGCTGGCAAGTGGCCCCGGCGTCCTCACCTGGGCTGTCTGCAAATACTGCAACATAAAGTACCAGAGCTGAGCCGGCGTGTCCAGCAACAGGAACTGGAAGCCAGCGGAAGTAATGCAGGGCGGCTCTCCAGGTTCAGTACTACAGACAAAGACCGGGACAATGACGGTGATATGCAGAGAAAGACTACTACCCCACTTGTCCGCTCACATTTTTTCTTTGTATCTCTGGCTGTATTCTACTCAGCTTGCCTTTTCCAGCTAATGTCCTCTGAGCTTGACTAGCCGCAGATACCATTTCTTAGGGACCCAAGGAGATGGCACTGCAGAGAGCTGCTATACCTCCGGTTTCCTCACCTCTTCATGAGCCCAGCCTGGCTGAGGAGCTGAGCCAAGTCCTGGCTGACAGCTGCACTGGGGGAGCCCACCATGAAGTGCAAGACCACCTGAAGAACAGAAGAGAACAGGGAGACCATGCCCCAAGGGCCATGGGAAGTAGAAGCACAAGCAGAGACACACACAGTCCCAAGTGCTTACCTCCCATCGCTCCTCGGCATACTTGTCAAGGGAGGGAACATCCCGGGCATGCTTGTCTGGTCCCAGCTGACTTGTGTCATCAGACCAGGCCTTCCCCCTAAGGCCAGGATGGGCCAAGAGTAAGGAACCCTGGCCAGGAGCTCACACCTGTAATCCCTGTACTTTGGGAGGCCAAGATGGGCGGATCACTTGAGGTCAGGAGTTTGAGACCAGACTGGCCAACATGGTGAAACCCCATCTCTACAAAAAATACAAAAAATTAGCTGGTGGTTGCCTGTAATCCCAGTCACTCAGGAGGCTGAGGCAGGAGAATCACTTGAACCCAGGAGGTGGAGGCTGCATTGAGCCAAGATCGCACCACTGCACTCTGCCTGGGTGACAGAGTGAGACTCTGTCTCAAAAACACACAAAACAAAACAACAAAAAAAGAGTAAGGAACCCTGTCTGTGTTCCTTGCCACCCTTCTGCCATCTTTCCACCCTTATCCTCAGGGGCCATGAGTGGGGGACATTTCCTACACCACACACTGCAGCTGATCCAACTTACTCCTAAAGGAGCTCCCAACGTGGAGACCACAAGGTTCCGGGGAGGCCCCCAGGAGCTCCCCCTCCCAAACTGTAATTAGCGGTTTAATAAGCAGCAGTTCCCCTGCCCTAGCTTAGGAAGAGAGAGAAGTGACATACCCACCCAGAAGGGCAATGCGGAGGTTCTGGCGGAAAATGGGGTTGAGGATGAGGCCCTGGAGCCCGCCTGGGAGCAGCTGGGTGTGCCAGATCCGGAGGCCGCTCAGCAGCCCTGTACTTTCCTCCTGAGCCCTGGAACAGAAGCAGAGAGGTGAGCAGGGTATTTGGAGAACAAAAAGGAGGACCATAAAAGCCACCTCTCTGCCTGTTCTGAACTTGCTGATCCTTGGAACACTGTTCCACAGAGTGATATTAGTATCTGAAGACAAATTCTTTACTGCATTACCTATCAGAGCATTATTACAGATATCACACATAACTCTGTAAGAGGGAAGATACATCTGAAAGCAAGAGGTCAGCTGGGAAATAAATAAAAGGGAAAAGGCAGTATGCAGAGTTTCCCAAATGTATTTATTTTTAAGTTTTGTGATATACCTATTAATACGTCCTGGAAGTGCTCCAAGGAACAGTAGTTTGGGAAATGTAGCTGTTGAGAAATTTGTATCTGGCTGAGACTTACTTGCTGAATTCCTTCTTTACCCACAGGGCTACAGCAGCTTGTGGCAAAGGCTGCTCCAGAAAGAGCATCCGCATCACCCAGTTCTTAGCCAAGGATGGGAGCTCCCTGAACAGGGACAGAGGTCAAAGGTTAATATCAGAAGCTGCATTGTATCTGCATCTCTGCCCTCAATTAACTCTCAAACATCTCATCTCACTCCACCACAACTTTACCAGTCCTGCTGTTTTGGCCCCCACACTTTGGAGCAATTAATTTCCAACCCGCACCCCGAGTCCCCACCCCTACCCCAGCCTGCTACACTTTTACCTGTTATATTTTATTCCAGTCCGCAGACCCCATTACATTTCCCTGCCATGAAGGGGATCCTCACCTGAAGACAGCCAGACAAGTGGCAGGGTGCCCATATAATCGGTCCAATACCCCAGGGCTCAGGCCCCCTAAGAATTCCTGCAGATTCCTGCATTGTAGGTGTACTCGGTTCAGTCCCCTTGAAGGGGTGCTCTCCATCACCTGAGGAATGCAAACATCAGAAGCGCACCCCCACCATCCATGCCAGTGTCACCCCTGACCTTTCTGATTCCAGATCCATCAGTCCCCACAATAACCCCACCTTTTCTGTGGCCTCCTTTCCCATGACACTCAATTCCTCTGGTTTCTCAAAAACCTGACCAATCTCCGTCCCTTTCTTGCCTCCTCACCCTGTTTCTGCCCTTCAACTCCAGTCTTTCCTCTGCTCCAAGTGACAGAATTGTCAACTGTCCTGTGTTTGCAAGATCATTTTGTATTTCAATGACTTGTCTCATCTTTGGCTAAACAGAGACAAAGAAAATTGAGCCCACACCTCTCTCTTCCATCCCTCCTGGTCAGATCAGTCTATAAGCTCCAAATCTACCCGAACTTCCTATCTTCTATCTCTTAGCCCACTTCTGCTAAGTACGGCGGTAACCTCTCCCCTCCATGCTTCCCAAATCTAAAGCCACCTCTTTTCCCTTCCCAAGTCTAGTTCACGCCATTCACCCTGACCCACGCCTTCCGATCTCCTAGCTTCTCCCTGCCTTCCTCCCACTCCTCGCCTCTCACTCACCTGTCTCTCTCATACCTCTGCCACTCCCGCCCTCCTAGGTCCCCTCACCACTCTGTCGATCCTCCTCGCGCACCCCGAGTCTCGGGCCGTCGCTTAATCGGAGCCAAAGTCTCGCATTGGCTCCTGGAAACTGAGGGAAAGATGGTGAAAAAATGCGAAGAAAAGATGGGGAAAGCGACGAAAGATTTCACAGGCAAGAGCCCAGAATGGAGAATTCAGAAGAGAAGGGAGGTAAGGGGAGGAGTGGAAAAGTGAAGAGGATTAGAATAGACGGTGCACACTCCCGGCGCGGGGGATGCTGGGAATTGGAGTCTTGTCTTTGCTCTCCTTAGAGCCGGCTGAAGTGCGTCTGACTACAAATCCCGAAAGGCACGGTGGGGAAGCCGAAAGGCAAGGAGCCGGCTTTTAATTGAGAGAGCGGGAGACACCAGAAGCCGGACCAGTTGGTTCTGCCAGAACCAACTCCGCCCACGCTGCTAACGGCGCATGTAACCCGATGGAGCGGGAGGCGGGTCGGGGAAAGTAGAAGTGCCTGGAGGGCTTCCGTGCGGAGGCGCGCTATGGCGACTTGGTGGTGAACCGATTAGACTTAGGGACCACAAAACTGGATTCCGTGAGCACAATTACTCCCCGTAAAATTGGGATAATGCACACTCCGGGCCGGACGCGGTGACTCACTGCTGTAATCCCTGCACTTTGGGAGGCCAAGGCGGGCGAATCACCCGAGGTCAGGAGTTCGAGACCAGCCTGGCCAATATGGTGAAATCCCGTCTTTACTAAAAATACAAAAATTAGCCGGGCGTGGTGGCGGGCACCTGTAATCCCAGCTACTCGGGAGGCTGAGGCAGGTGAATCGCTTGAACCCTAGAGGCGGAGGTTGCAGCGAGCCAAGACAATGCCCTTACACACCAGCCTGGGCGACAAGAGCGAAACTCCATCTCAAAAAAAAAAAAAAAAGAAAAAGGAAAAAGAAAGAAAGCGTACACACTCCGGAGAGTTTCCACGAGTTAACGATTAACATGATCCAGTGCACCTTACTTGGCGGTAAGTACTCAATAAATCTTAATTTCTTCTCAAATTTTTTTCTCCACCACTCCTCAAACCGTCTACTTAGAAAACCCAGATAAAGTCAGTTTTTAGGACACTGACTGTTTGCTGTGATTTGATTTATGAACCTACTACAGAGAAAGGCAGAGGTCTTCACCCAAACCCAGAACTACACATTTCCCCAAATTCCTATAAGCAAATTTTGTTATTCCCATTTTATAGACTGGAAGACTGGAGCCTGGCGAGATTAAGAAATTTGCCTGCAGCCTGGCGAGGTGGCTCAGACCCGTGACCCCAGCTGCTTGGGAGGCTGAGGCAGGAGGATCGCTGAAGACTAGGAGTTTGAGGCTACAGTGAGATATGATCACGCCAGTCTGGGCGACAGAGTGAGACCCCTATCGCGCGCTCTCTCCCTCTCTCTCTCTCTCTCTTTTTTTGAAACGGAGTCTCTCACTCTGTCGCCCAGGCTGGAGTGCAGTGGCATGATCTCAGCTCATGGCAACCTCAGCCTCCTGGGTTCAAGTGATTCTTTTACGTCAGCCTCCCAAGTAACTGTGGGACTACAGGTACGCACCACCACGCCCGGCTAATTCTTGTATTTTTAGTAGAGATAGGGTTTCACCATGTTGGCCAGGCTGGTCTCAGGGTTTCACCATGTTGGCCAGGCTAGTCTCAAACTCCTAACCTCAGGTGATCCACCTGCCTCAGCTTCCCAAAGTGTTGGGATTACAGGCGTGAGCCACTGCACCCAGCCTGAGACCCCCATCTCTTAAAAAAAAAAAAAAAAGGAAAAAAAAAAATCCCTACAATCAGACAGAAAGTGCCCAAGCTGGGGTTTGAAGCACATTTGCAAGAGACCAGAGATCAAAATGGTGATGACTACGTAAGACTTTGTTATACTTTGTAGCCCACCCATGTTTTCTGTTGTCCCTGTTTTTTTTTTTTTTAGCAATTAATGTTTTAAAATCTTCAAAGAACAGCTAAAAATTGACAAAGCTTCTTTATGGCAAACTTTAGGTAAGGTTGAAAGACAATTTACAATCTAGGAAGAAATGATTGATGAAATAAACAAAATACAAAAAGCTGTTACAAAGCAATAAGAAAAAGAAACATAATGGAAACATTGGGGCAGACCACTGCTTACTCCTTAGCCCTGCTCAGCAAGGAGCAGCTAAAAAAATAAAAGAAATAATGAAAGAAAAAGAAAAGAAAGAGGCCTGGCAGGGTGGCTCAGGCCTGTAATCCCAACACTTTGGGAGGCCAAAGCAGGTGGGTCACTTTAACTCAGGAGTTCCAGACCAGCCTGGTCATCATACAGAAACTCCATCTCTTCAAAAACAAAACAAAACAAAACAAAAATTAGTTGGGTGTAGTGGTGTACTCCTGCAGTCCCAACTACTCAGGAGGCTGAGGTAGAAGGATCACTTGGGCCCAAGGATTGAGGCTGCAGTGAGTAGTGATAGCACCACTGCACTCCAGCCTGAGCAACAGTGTGAGACCCTGTCGCAAAAGGAGAGGGGAAGAAAGGAAAGGACAGGGGAGAACTGGGGAGGGGAGAGGAAGGGAAGGGTAGTTAGGGGGAAAGAAGGAAAGAGAAAGAAAGACTGACCAAAGCAAAAAGAAAGTTAAACAAAATGTCAGAAATGTTTTAAAAATAAAAAAATTGGGCGCAGTGGCTCACGCCTATAATCCCAACACTTTGGGAGGCCGAGGCGGGTGGATCACCCACGGTCAGGAGTTCAAGACCAGCCTGGCCAACATGGTGAAACCCCATCTCCACTAAAAATACAAAAATTAGCCGGGCATGGTGGCAGGCGCCTGTAATCCCAGCTACTCAGGAGGCTGAGGCAGGAGAATCGCTTGAACCTGGGAGGCGGAGTTTGTAGTGAGCCAAAATTGCGCCATTGCACTCCAGCCTGGGGAACAAGAGCGAGACTCTCTCAAAAACAAAACAAAATGCAAAAAATTGACCAGGCCTGGTACTGTGGTCCCAGCTACTCAGGAGGCTGAGGCAGGAGGATTGTTTGGACCCAGGAGGTCAACACTGCACTGAGCTGTGATCATGTCACTGCACTCCAGCCTGAGCTATAGAGTGAGGAGACCTTGTCTCGAGAAAAAAAAAAAAAAAGAAAGAAGAAGAGGAAGAAGAAAAGAGAAAAAGAAATTGGCTGGGTGTGCACACACCTGTAGTCCTAGCTACTCCAGAGGCTGAGGTAGGAAGATCACTTGAGTCCAGCAGTTCAAGGCTGCAGTGAGCTACAATTATACCACTGCACTCCAGCCTGGCCGCAGAATTAGACTCTCTCTTAAAAATAAATAAATAGGCCAAGCGCCGTGGCTCACGCCTGTAATGCCAGCACTTTGGGAGGCCAAGGCAGGTGGATCACCTAAGGTCAGGAGTTCAAGACTAGCCTGGTCAGCATGGTGAAACCCTGTCTCTACTAAAAATATGAAAATTAGCCGGGCATGGTGGCAGGAGCCTGTAATCCCAGCTGCTTGGGAGGCTGAGGCAGGAGAATCACTTGAACCTGGGAGGCAGAGGTTGCAGTGAGCTGAGACTGTGCCATTGCACTCCAGCCTGGGCAACAAGAATGAAACTCCGTCTCAAAAATAAATAAATAAATAAATAAAAATAAATAAATTGGCCGGAGGCAGTGGCTCACACCTATAATCTCAGCACTTTGGGAGGTTGAGGCGGGTGGATCACTTGACGTCAGAAGTTCAAGACTAGCCTGGGCAACATGGTGAAACCCCGTCTCTACTGAAAATACAAAAATTAGCCAAGCATAGTGGCTGGCGCCTGTAATTCCAGCTACTTGGGAGGCTGAGACAGGAGAATCGCTTGAACCCAGTAGGCCGAGGTTGCAGTAAGCTGAGATCACACCACTGCACTCCAGCCTGGGCAACAGAGCAAGACTCTATCTCAAAATAAATACATAAATAAAATTAAAATATAAAAGTTTAGCAAAAAAGAAATTAAGGATTATCATCCTCAGTGTTCGTCAGGGTATAGGAGCATACTCATACACCTTTGCTGAAAATTGAGGCCTGGTCCAGTAGCTCACACCTGTAATCTCAGCACTTTGGGAGGCCAAGCCAGGCAGATCGCTTGAGCACCAAAGTTTGAGACCAGCCTGGGCAACATGGTGAAACCCTGTCTCTACAAAAAATACAAAAATTAGCTGGGCATGAGGAGGCATGCCTGTAGGCCCAGCTACTTGGGAGGCTGAGGCAGGAGAGTTGTTTGAGCCCTGGAGGCAGAGGTTGCAGCTAGCTGAGATCACACCATTGTACTCCAGACTGGTCAACAAAATGAGACTCTGTCTCAAATTTAAAAAAAAAAAAAAAAAAAAAGTGAAATAGGCACAGCTTTTTTGGAGGGGGTGGGGGGACAGAGTCTTTCTCTGTCACCCAGGCCGAATGCAGTGGCGCGATCTCAGCTCACTGCAATTTCTGTCTCCCAGATTCAAGCAATTCTTGTGCCTCAGACTTCCGAGTCGTTGGGATTACAGGCGTGAACCACCATGCCCTGCTAATTTTTTTTTGTATTTTTAGTAGAGACAGGATTTCACCATGTTGGCCAGCGTGTTAGTGGGCGTGGTAGTTCAAAAAAGAGAATTCCTGTGCTAGGGAACTCATGACCTCCTTCCCTCAGGCAGCATCCTGGAGAGAAAGAACAGAGAGCCAGGGCCGGGGGCGGTGGCTCACACCTGTAATCCCAGCACTTTGGGAGGCCAAGGAGGGTGGATCACAAGATCAGGAGTTCAAGACCAGCCTGGCCAACATGGTGAAACCCCATCTCTACTAAAAATAAAAAAATTAGCCAGGCATGGTGACAGGCGCCTGTAATCCCAGCTACTCAGGAGGCTGAGGCAGGAGAATCACTTCAACCCAGAAGTCAGAGGTTGCAGTGAGCTGAGATAGCGCCACTGAACTCCAGCCTGGGTGACAGAGCAAGACTTCATCTCGAAAAAAAAAAAAGAACAGAGAGCCAGGAACCCTCAAACCCACTTCCCACAGGCTTTACCATTGACTAACTGTGCTACTTTGGGCAAGTTATTTAACCTAACAGAATTTTCTTCTCTGTGAAATAATTTCAACTACTTCATATATTGTATTAAGTAAGATATAATATGTAGTAATTTCAATACCTGACGTATAGTGGATGCTCAGTAATATATTATCATCATTATTGTAACTTTCACTTATTAATCCTAG